GGCTCAGCGTCGGTTAACTTGACACACAGAGTATGAATCTAACATTCCCTGGCTTTCCCCTTCCTGGAATGCATCCTTTATTTTCCTTTGACTGTGTTTGTCCCCATTCTGGCTTTCCATTCCTTAGCTCAGAAAGGCAGTGTGTTATATACAAGGTTCCCATTTGGAGCAGATCAAGGCCTTTCTCAAAATAGAATTTGTAAAATGAGAAAATCTCTTGTTCCATTCATGTCTAATGCCTTTCAGAACCTGCCTGATTTTCTGTCTCCAGTGCTTTCAGGTTTGTTTTGTTCTGTATTTTCTAAGAAACTAGTTTTTTAACTGTGAGGTGGCATGTCTTAGCAAAGCTTACTTGGTCATTACCAGAAACAAATAAGGAAAAATGTATATCTCTTTGAGATTCTAAATTATGTTTTTGCCTGATATAGAATTATTGTCTGATATTTTTCCAGTGTTTTAAGAGGTTGCTCAATTTTCTTCTGCTTCTCATTATGTTTGTCACAAAGTCTGTGTTCATTCTTATCTTTTTTTTCCTGTATGTATTATTTTTAGGTCTTTCAAGTGTCTACACTTTTAATGCTTTCTATTTAATCTCTTGGTAATTAAATGTGGATAATTTCTATTCTCTTATGTTCAAATTCACTAATTTATGTCTGTAATGTCTATTATGCCTTTAACAAATACACAAAAAAAATTCATATCTGATATGATATTCTGCCCTACTCACTCAATTTGGTTTCCCATCATGATTCTTCTCTTTTTAATGTTCATGTTGCCTTTGAATTCTTAGAAATGTTTATTACTATTTTAAAGTTCTTTCTGCCAATTCTATCATCTCTGGTTTTCCTGGGTCCAGAAATGATATTTTATTTTTCATAATGTTAATATTTCTTAATGTTTCATAATGTCAATTGTGCATAACATTCTCCTGCTTCTTCAACAAGCATGTAAATGTTTCTTTGGATGTTGGACATTGTGGACATTTTTCAGTTGAGTCCAGAATTTTAAATCTTTCTTCAAACACTGTTGAGCTTTGTTTTGGCAGGAAATTTATTTACTTGCAAGTCTGCTTAATCTTTTTGTGAGCTAATGTGGAGCTTTGTTAGAGTGGAGTTCAGTGCATCCTTTTCTCTGGGTCAGTTCTCTCTTCTGCTGTCTCCACTGAAAGCCCTAGAGATTCAGTGAGATTCCTGACTAAGCTCTGACAGGATGTGAATGTGTCCCAACCCTCTGTGAACTGGTAGTTTTCATCATGCAGATCCCTGGTGGCTTCTTTTCCCCTAGTAGCATTTCTTGATCTAGCGTCACAGAATATCACCTTAATAGGTAGGTGCAGTTTAGAAATCAACCAGCATCTCACGTTGATATGCAATCACTTTGTCAGCGTGGGTGTCTCCACTCCAGGACCCAGTTCCACGTGTTCCAGGCACCTCATCCCTTCCTGATCTGATTTTGTGTCTTTATCTCAATATAATTATTGTGTTCTCCATGTACCCACCATCACTCCACGTCAGGGACCAGTAATCATGTCCCTTCTCTCACAGGTCCTAGTTTTGTGCTGACAGACATCAAATATATGAAAACTCCTGTTACATGCCTTCCTCTAATTTTCCAGTTGTTTTCAGCAGCAGATTTATTAAAATTCAACATTCCAGGTACCAAGACTGACAAAACCCCTCCGTTTCCCTACCAGTCTAACTTGAGCATCTTTCCCATTTTTCCCTA